TACAATGATGACTTTCTCTCCCTTACCATGAGTTCCAAAGATGTTTCCCTACTTTGGCATAACAGATTTGTCCATGTAAACTTAAATTCCCCCACTCATATGCATAAGAATGATATGGTAAAGGGATTGACTACAGTTAGTTCCTTGGATCAAGTCTATGAAGGATGTGCATTAGGAAAACATATTAGAGAGTCTTTTCATCATGATAAATCATGGAGAACATCAATACAATTGGAATTATTCCACTCTGATATATTTGGACCAATGAGGGCTGTGTCATTTGGAGGCAGTAGGTACTTCTTTACTTTCATAGATGACTTAAGTAGAAAGGTTTGGATTTATTTTCTAAAAGAAAAATCAAAGACTTTTAATTGTTTTGTCCTATTCAAAGCTATGGTTGAAAAACAAAGTGAACAAAAAATCAAATGTCTAAGATCAGACAATGGTGGTAAATATATAGGACATGAATTTGAGGAATTCTTGAAATAAAATGGGATTCATCATCAATTGACAGCCAATTACACACTCCAACAGAATGGGGTGATAGAAAGAAAAAAATAGGACTCTTGCTGAGATGGCAAGGTGTATGCTTAAAAGTAAGCAATTAACCAATGTCTTTTGGGTTGAAGCTATTTCTTGTGCAACCTATCTGATTAATAGATCCTTAACTAAAAATGTCTCAAACAAAACACCTCAAGGGGCCTGGAGTGATTTCAAACCAAGTGTACATCATTTAAGAACCTTTGGGTGTGTTGTCTATGCTCATATACTCAAGCAAAGTAGAGGAAAACTAGATGAGAAGTCTGAAAAGGTTATATTTATAGGGTACAGCTACAACACTAAAGCATACAAGTTGTACAATCTTTTGACTAAGAAGGTCATAACTAATAAAGATGTTATTTTTTATGAAGAGAAGTTCTGGAATGGGCTTACATGTGATGATGATGGTACTTGTATTTTGGCTGAAGGTACTCAAGATCAAATCAATGTAACTAACAACCAGATAATAATGAGCCTGCTACTCCAACAAGCATGTCCTCTCCATTAAACAATGATCAGATGGCACCTAGTTTAGAAGATACAAGTTTTGGTAATTCATCCTCATCAAACAGACCCCATAGAAAAATTAGAAGTGTAAGAGATTTATATGAGAACACTCAACCTCTAAATATTGAGGACTTGGCTGACTTTGCCTTATTTGCAGATGCAGACCCTCTACACTATGAGGAAGCTTGCTTGAACAAAAAATGGAGAGATGCCATGGATGGTCAGATTAAGTCAATTTTGAAGAATAAGACTTGGAAGTTACTTGATCTGCCTAGTGGGCAAATATCTATAGGTGTAAGATGGATTCATAAAACTAAACTCAATGAAAAGGGGGAGGTTGATAAACAATATGGCCAGGATAGTGGTTAAGGGCTACAAGCAACAATTTGGGTTCAGCTATCAAAAGGTATTTGCACCTGTTATAAGACTTGAAATTGTACATTTAGTCTTAGTTATTGCTGCACAAAATGATTGGAATGTCCACCAAATGGATGTTAAATTTGCTTTCCTAAATGGGTATCTTGAAGAAGATGTTTTTGTGGATCAATCGAGTGGATACAAAAGAAAGGGGTAGGAGCATAAAGTTTTCCATTTAAAAAAGGCCCTTTATGGACTAAAACAGGCTCCAAGGGCCTGGTACATTAGGATTGAAGGACACTTTATCAAGAATGGTTTCAAGAAGTATGACTATGAGCACACTCTTTTCATAAAGAAGACAGGTAACATGATACTTTTGGTTTATGTATATGTAGATGACTTGGTATTTGTAGGAAACTCTTTGGATATGATTAATGAATTCAAAGAATCTATGAAGGTGGAATTTAAGATGACTAAGGGGCTGTTTGGCAGTTGCTGAATGATTTAGTGCAGAATAGTTAAGAGGTCAGAATGGTTAAGAGGGTCAGAATGGTTAAGTGCTGAATGAAATAATGTTGTTTGGTAACTGTTCTCTGAATGACAACAAATTACCATTTTAACCCTCTGCCTATTTGCAACTGATTCTGCTTTGCTTTCTATTAGTTTCTGCTAGACAACAAGTATCTATATAAATTGGACATCTATTTTGGTTGATGATATCTTGCTAGTAAGAAAGAATGGCATCCAACCTTTACCACTTATCATTATCACTTGATCAAGAAGTTCATCAATGAAGCATCATAGACAAAAACAAGCCACTCTTTCCTAAAATCATGTATCCACATAGACAGAAACCAATTATACAACATGATTAACCTGCTTATGTTTAAAAACAATACCATGGGCTCAAAGCCACTGTTTCAAGAAACCTCATCGTGTGATTGCAAGGTTTAAACATAAAATTGAAGGAGGCGGTAGAGGAAGCAGATGTAGGGAAGCGAGGAGATCGATTTTAGGAAAATACCTTAAGCGAACGACGATCGTCAAAGGAGATGGAGGGAACGACGACCGTCAGAGGAGATGAAGGGGAACGGCGATCGTGGAAGCAGATGAAGCTGTGGAGCGTGAGAAGCTGTGGAGCGTGAGAAGCTGTGGAGCGTCGAGAAGCTGTGGAGCGTCGAGAAGCTGTGGGTCTTGACTGTACGACCTGAGACATTACCTGATGGAGCGTCGAGAAGCTGTGGCGCGTCACCGGCGATGGAACGTCGATAAGGTGGACAGGGGCGCGGCYGAAAACAGAGGTGTGGAAGATGGAGGTCACCGGCGATGGAGGTCACCGGCGATGGAGATGTGGAAGATGGAGGTCACCGGCGATTTTCCCTTAAGGAGACGATGATCTAGCGTTGGTGTGGAAGGGCGATGTGGAGAAGGAGAGAGTGGGCTGGTAGGTGTGGAAGGGTAAAGAGGGAAAATTAATAATCTGAATGGTTTAGCATGGATTCAACCTCAAAATAGTTAAGAGCTTTGAGTAACCATTAAGAGGCTTTTATTTTTTTGCCAAACAGGTCTCACCTCTGACCGATTAAGAGGTTCCCTCTTAATGTCACCATTAAGAGGGAAACAAACCGCCCCTAACTTATGATTGTTGCATTACTTTTTGGGAATGGAGGCATGGACGGACCTACTATAGGGCATACGGTGGCATGTGCCACCGTATTATTACTCCGTCGAAGGGTAAGAAAATTTAGATTCGTGAAATGTGCAAGCGTATTAATTTGTTGTGTGCCATCGTATGTATGAAATTAAAATGAGAACAAGTTTTATTTGGTAGAGTTGATTTGCAAGACTTTTATTCCACCCCAAACCCAAGTTCGAATTCAGTTAGTGTCATTTTCATAGTCAAATGGTGCTACCGTTTGGAAAAAATTCCGTATATTTGTTTTCTTATAGTCAAATGGTCCTACCGTTCGAAAAAAATTTCCTATATTTTTTTTTCCTTATAGTGAAATAGTGTCACCATTTGAAAAAAAAATTGGGTGCGTCCCTGAATTGAGGCAAAACAATGTAATCATTTTATTTCAATTTCTCAAAAGAAGTATGCCAAGGATCTTCTGTCCAGATTCAACATGGAGGATTCCATTTCTGCTGCAACTCCTATGGAGATTGGTTTGAAGCTAACTAAAGGTGAAAATGAAGAAGATGTGGATTCTACATTATTTTGTAGCCTTGTTGGATATCTTATGTATCTCACATCAACAAGACCTGACATCATGTTCTCTGTGAGTTTAGCAAGTAGGCTTATGGAAAATCCTAAGAAGAGTCACCAGGAGGCTGCCAAACGTATATTAAGGTATGTGAAAGGGACTTTAAATCATGGGATTGTATATTCTCAAGCATAAGAATCCAAGTCGATAGGATTTAGTAATAGTGATTATGGGGGAAGTTTAGTGGATAGCAAAAGCACGACAGGTTATGTGTTTAGCTTGGAATCTTGAGCAATTTTATGGCAGTCTAGGAAGCAAAAGGTTGTGGCTTTGTCTTCCAAATAAGCAGAATATATGTCCCTTTCATCTACAGGTTGTTGAGATTTATGGCTCGGAGGCATACTGGATGAACTAGATATGCCACAAGCGACTGCTACACAAGTTTACTGTGATGATAAATCTGCCACTGCATTAACTAGGAATCCAGTTTATCATGGTAAGAGCAAACACATAAGGATTAAGTTTCACTTCATTAGAGAGCTCATTCAGAACCTTGAAGTTGATGTTCTATTCTGTGGTACAAAGGATCAAGTGGCTGATATCTTTATAAAATCTTTGCAACATGGAAGATTCATCAAGTTGAAGAAAGCTCTTGGAGTTGTTGATGTCTAGCTTATGGGGGAATATTGGTTATAAGCTAGACATATTATGATAAGCAGTTATGATATGTTGAATAAATGATCTTGCATCAGTGACACTTATGATAGTTAGTAGTTTAGATAACCGTCATCTTGAAAAGGTGTCTCCTTGGAGAATTGTGTTGGTTCATCATCTATATATAGTCTTGTATTTCTTTTGTAATTTTGTTGTTGGATTAATCATATGAATAATATATACATATTCATATGATGCATGCCTATTCTTGATGGTAATCTAAGAAACAACCAACAGTATTTCTTTCGTAATTCGTTAATCTCATGGAGATCTAAGAAACAACCGATAGTATCTGGATCATCGACAAAAGCCGAGTATAGGGCAATAGCTTCTACTCTTTGTCAACTAGTTTGGGTCAAGTATTTGCTGAATGGTTTGGGAGTAAAACATACTAAACCCGTGTTGCTTTTCTGCGATAATAAGTAATCACTTCAAATTGCCACAAATCTTACACGAATGTACCAAACATATCGATATTGATTGCCATTACGTATGAGAGAAGGTGGCGCGCGGTTAATTAAGTTTCTTTGTTTAATGCTTGTTCAGTCAACTTTTCAGCTAGCCGATGTTTTTACAAAAACCTTTGTCGAAGTGAATTTTGCATCATTTGATTTCCATGACGGCACTTAAGAACATTTTCTTACCGTGCTCATCTTGAGGGGACATATTACCTAATGCAGATTATAAATGGTTGAAATAACATTTATAAATTGATAATAACTTAACACATACATACATAAACACATACATACATACACATATATGTATGTATGCATGCATGCATATGCCATGATCTATAAACCATAACACTTTTAAGAGTCAAAGACAACACAAACTAAAAAGACATGCATATCTTTTTTATTCTAATAATATATGATGATATTGATACGTTAATCTTCATCATCCCAAGTTTATCTTTCCATACATTCGAGAGAAGCCTCATTTCACCCTGCAAAAACCAGCCACATAAAAATACGATTAAAATTAATTTGAATTAAAACCCTTCTAATTAATATTCAGTTTAATAAGATTTTTAATCATTTTATACAAATAAGTTGTGGATATATTGGAGTTAAGAGGACCAAAAAGAGGACAAGCAGATATCATCAGAAGATACAAAATATTTGTCTTCAAACTGTTACAATATAAAAACAATTGTATACAAGGTTGTACATATTAGGTTTTCTGTAAGTCATTTTCTCTGGGTAAGAATATAATATTTTTTTAATTATATATATATAGGGTTGGGTTCACGTGAGACCAAAAGTTTTCGTGAAAACCGTAAGATCAATTTATGTTTATTGATCAACTTTATAAGCTAATGATCTAATGGTCTAAAGTTGCACGATGACAATTTGTGATTATTGAGAAGTATCGTGACAATTTTGTAATTATGAATGTTCAAATTGTAGATCTAGTCCAAGGGTTGAGAATTGGTTTTACGAGTCTCACGAAAAACCTTTGGTCTCACATGGTCCCAAGTCTATATATATAGGGGTGATTAATTTTATAAATCATGTAAATCTAACAAGCCGTACAAAAAGCTCATCCGACCAATCTTTTTTATCTATTTTTTCACTTTTATTTATTTATGAGGGTTGATTAGTGGATAATATACGAAACAAATTCATCAAAAATATATGACACAAATTTTATCAAAATGAGAAATACATGAAACAATTTCATTTTCACATATTAAACACTTTCATGAAACAATTTTATTTTAATTAAACAATAAACCACACAGTTTATATGGTTTGTTAGATTTCACTGGTTTGTAAAATAACTTTGGCGCATATATATATATATATATATATATATATATATTTATTTTGTGCTAATAATTTTTAAAGAGGAAAAAATGTAAATATGATTACTCTTAATTATAAGGGTTGATTAGTCCATAATATATAAAACAAATTCATCAAAAATATATGAGAGTTGATTAATCAAGAATATATGATTCAAATTTCATCAAAACAAGAAATACATGAAACAATTTGATTTTCACATACAAACAAAAATATATAAAACAATTTCATCAAGAAAAGAATTATATGAAACAATTCACTGGTTTGTAAAATAACTTTGGTCTATATATATTTATTTTGTGCTAATAATATTTAACGAGGGAAAAATGTAAATTTGATTACTCTTACTAAAAAAGACATATTATTTTTGGGATAACAAAAAAATTATTATTCATGGCTTTTTTAAGAACAAGGAATGTATATATGGAGGGGGGAAAAGAAAAGTATATTTGAATACATTAAAAATTAACACAGAAGTGTAAAATTTGGACATACTTGGAGCAGTCGGTGTTAGGGCTGATCTTATACGGAATGCTAACGCCACACTTGCTGGGAAGGCCCGAGGCATAGTTAGCGTTGATGCCTGAGTTCGATGCATAAGCACTCTTCAGGCAACCGCATGCCGTCTTGCGGTCAGGGGTCGATTTTGCGGCAGCATTCAAACTCTTAACACCAGAGCAACATGCTGCCGGCACCGAACCACCGACCTTCAGGTAGTTCAGGCATGGCGCCAACTTCCCTGCCAGCTGACCACAAGTAATAGCAGCCTCCACATAAGGCGTTGCCACCACCATGCAAGCCACCACAACACATATGACCTTCATCAACGTCATCTTCCCTGCCATTGTTTTAGAACCCTAAAAGACTGTAGAACTTGTGCTTTGTTATGGTTTCTGTTTTGGTGTAAGAAAATGTTAAGGAAGGTATCATGTATTTATAGGGATGTTTATGCATGTGCAGGTGTGTACAGGAATTGAATGAAAGAGTTATTACATTTCCAAAAGTGTATCACATTTAATTTCAATTGTTTGATATAATACAGTTGTGTATTTGTAATTATCAAGGCAAAATACAACAAAAATGGTCATATTTCATGTTCACTAATTTTCTCCTAATTAGGGTAACAATTAAGTTCTTCTAATTTGGTATATATCCATTACAGATATCTTGTTTTGCGTTTTTCTCCGACTTATAAACTATTTATATTTAATATCGAACAATGTGACAACTTGTTCTATATTGATAGAACAATTGATCATTTAAGTGAGGGAAAAAATACCAAAATATAACTCATATTATATATATATATATGGGAAAAATTCAAACGAGAACATATTCATTTTACGAGAACATAAGAACATTTTTTTACTATAGACAATCACATGTGATACTATTATTGTATCACATATGATACACATGTGATACTAAATCAGAGACGTGGACGATTTTCGATGCGATCTTAGTTGCAGGCCAAGTCGCCCTTACACCACTAAGCCCCCTCACATGTGATACTATTATTGTATAACATATGATACACATGTGTTGTTGATATGATACTATAATCCATCAACACTATCACATGTGATGCTAAATCATAGACGCAAACAACCTTTTGGTGCGGCCTAAGTCGTAGAACACGTCGTCCGCACATCACATTGTCCCTTCACGCGTATTATCACATATGATAAGGGTGTTCTCACGTTCTTGTAAAATAGAAGTGTTTTCGTTTGAACCTCCGGAATATATATATATATATATATATATATATATATATGTATATGTATATATCAATCTTTGAATCAAAGACTGATTAGATTCCAAGTAGAGATGGCCAAAAATCGGTCCCGGGCCGACCGGTCCTAATCGCGACAAAAACCATCCTTAACCGGTCCCTCTATAACCGGTCCCGGTCCCGATGAAAAACTCTATAACCGGTCAAGCTTGTCCATAACCAGTTAAGCCGGCCGGTCCCGGTTTCGGTCCCATAACCGGTTACGGCCGGTCCTTTGAAAATTTTTTTATTTTTTTTTATTTTTTTGGTAATTAATAAATTTATAATATGTTATTAATATCTTTGAAATATGTTTTTTAAATATGTTTTATTATAAATACGTTTTGTTACATATTATATATATACGTTTAATTTTATAAATACGTTTTGTTATATACATTTAAGAATACACTTTAAAAATACRGTTTACTCAAATACACTTTAAAAGTACGTTTTATTATGATTAAAGTGGCATTGTTTTACAAAATGCAATAAAATACATTTATTTATCAATCTTCATCGGTATCCCATACCGGGCCGGGCCCTTAACCGGTTACGTAACCGATTCCGGTCCAAGAATTCTCTAAAAAGTCTAACCGGTTCGTAACCGCCGGTCCATAACCGGTTACTACCGGTCCCGGTTCGGTTACGGGCTTCAGGCGGTCTCGGTTATGGGCCTCTGTCAGTTACGGACCGGTTACGGATGGCCATCTCTAATTCCAAGTGTCATGAAATGAAAAAAAGAGAAGGGACTGGTTGGTTGGAAGTTGATGGTTTTATCATTAATTAGCTTCTTTTAATGGCTCACTTTTTCAAAAGAATTAAAGATATTGTGGAATTTGATCATCTATCCCTAGGAATTAGTTTGAGCTTCCGATCAATGCATCCCGTAGACCCGTACCCAAACGCATTAACTAAAAAGAAATTATTTTGTTTAAAATTAATTCTATCAATTATATAACATATCTAGTTACAACTTACTAAGGGGTCGTTCCTTTGTAACTCAATAGGTTGTATAAGTCTTATAGTTTATTCGTTCAGTTATATAAAGCTGTTCGGTTGGGGCTTATTCACCTAGCTAAGAGCTTATTCGTTCAGCTCAAAAACCCCACTCCTATGGCCTCAGTTATCAATAGTTCTCCAATTACCCTTGATTTACCCTTAACTTTGCTATGGCGAATTTTGTTGCTCCCCAAGTCCCCCACTCCCACAGCTTCACGTCGTCGTCAACTACAACTCACGACCTGCAACTGGCTGCCGGCATATTCTCAACGTCTGACTGACGTATTCCTCTAGCCCCGACCTACAACCTTGATTTCTTATTTTCTTCTATTGCAAAATCTTCTCGAGTTCGACATCTCGATTTCTTCCTCCAAAATATTCGAGTTTAGCTCAGGTTGATGTTCGATTTCTTTGCTTTTTTTTGACGATTTCTTTTATGTTGATCTGTTTGATTCAATTTTGTTGTTGTTCCTTTTTTCCACCTGCTTCTCCATTGTTTTCTCTCGTTCTCCCCCTACTCGTCATTGACCTGTTCTCTCACCGCTCAATACAACCTCTTGTTCTGTTTGATTCAGTTTCTTTTATGTTGTTCAGTTTGATCTTGTTCTCTCGAACCACTTTGGTTGGAGATGATGAAGAAATTAAAATATTTTTTATTTATGAAGAAAACAAATAATAAGTAAAATGGTCATATATATCATTCAAAGTGTTTATTCAGCATTGTAACTCAACAACAACTTATATGTTATTATACAGAAAACTTTATTATTATAGACAACTTTATCCATACAAGTTTTAATAGAAAAGAAAATGAACAACCCTTAAGTTATCCATGTATTTTTATGTGTTAGGGTTAGGGGTTTCAAAAGAGAACCTAAAATAAATTTTGAAAATAATATTTTTGTAATTAATAAATTAATTAAATGGAAAAGGTATTAATAAAATTAAATAGAGTATTCTATTTTATATTTTTTTTAGATAAAAATTGAATTATTTTTTTAAAATTTAAATTATCTTAAATATAATATTTTTTATATAAAAACAATAATTTTAATTTTTAATTTGATAGTCATATCGATAAACGTTCTTTTGATTTTTGAACAGGGTCTACAAAATCATGATTATGAGTATATCTACATGTTACGTCTATGAATATATACATATATATATAAGGCAAATCATATAAAAACACTTAAAATGTTACAAATTAACTCGTGAAAATCGATCACAATCACTCAATGATTTTCATTTTAAGATAAGATTTAAAATGTCTGTTTTTCATATATGATATAATACTATGAACTTTTTTTCATAGTTTTTCTAAGGTTTTTATTTGATTTTTCCTTGTACATATATTTTCACACACAAAAGTTTACCATTGAAATTCTAACTCCAAGTATTTTATTCGCATCATCATCATAACATCTTGGATGATTGTTTATGTCATTTTGTATTCATGAACCAAATGACTATATTACACCACCAAATTAATTTTCTAACAATTTTTTTCTGGATTTACTCAAAAGTCAATAGGTTCGCAATACTTAGGTCCAGAATTATTGCGGGCCCACTAAACGACAAAAAATCAATGTTTTCGAGCCAAATCCTTAAACACCGGTCCACAACTATTATGGATCCGACCCAAAACCCATTTTCCTATGAAGGTGGACACTTACGAATCTGACATTACAGATTCAAGGAAAATGGTTTTTGGGCTGTATCCGTAATAATTACGGATCTATGGTTACGGACATGAGCCAAAGACTCCAAAATTTTGTCATTTAATGGGTCCACAATGATTACGGAATTGGATATTGCAGACCTAGTGACTTTTGGATAAAGTTCGAAGAAAAATGATTATGAGGTCAATTTTGTTGTAAAATATGGTCATTTGGGTCAATTTCCGTGTAATTTATTGGTTTTCTCTTAGTTGTCTTCCTTTGACTTTTTAGTATAAATTTTGTAACTTTTTAGGGGATGTTTGGGATTACTTATTTGAAACAACTTATACTTTTCTATAAAAGCACTTATTAACTTATTATAAGTCAGAAGACTTTAACTTATTCAAAAACTTCTTATTACCGGTTTGGCACCGGTATAAGTTGTTTATCCAAACACTCAAAATTGCTTATTATCGGTGTCACACCGTAATAAATCAATAAGTTGTTTTTATAAGTAATTCCAAACACCCTCTTAGTTTGAGAAAATAAATAAAGCACAAAAGGCAGGGGTCAGATCTAATATGCAAGAGGTGGGGATGACCCTATTAAAGAAAGTTTTTGTAGGTTAAAAATAATTTTTTTAACTTTTTATAATAGTTCCTTCCAGTAATTTTTCACTTATGCCTCTACCAACCAAAAAAAGTATTTCTATCATAGTTCCTTTCAAAACCAACCACAAATACCGAAAAAGTCCTTCGAAATCGACAAAAAAAACTTAAAAAACCCTCGAAATCAACAAAAAAAGTTTAAAAATCTTTCGAAATGGTGGAATTAGGCTAAAACACATCGAGCGACTCCACAGTCCTTTAATCTACTTTGAACGTGCCCACACTAGGTAAAAATTTTGGATCCATCACTGATAAAAAAAAATGAACAATTTGTCCATGTGACTTACACACCCATTATATAATTTTGTGTAACTTCACCTTAATGTTGTCGTTTGCTTTGAATTCTTAATATTAATTTTCATTTATTACCAAATTAATTATGCATGATCTTTTCTTTATAGGTCTAATATCATTTTTTTTGGGTGATAATACTTTTTATGGTATATTTTTCTTGTGTTATGACATGCTCATATCAAGTTTTCAAATTAAATAAATAAATCTTCTTCTCTTAAAATATTATTGTCATTGTTTTTAAAACAATATATTAAATTATTGTTATTGTTCACTACTAGAAAATCAGATATCAGCAACGAATATCAGTTAGGGAAAAAATCTTTCGCAGATCAACGAGGGATTAGTGAGTGAATTGGCTTTTCACCATTTTTTATTTAATAACTAAAATTTAATTACTTATTAATTTTTAATTATTAATTATTAAATTTCTAATTATTTATTATTTTTTAGAATATTACAAAAATTATTAATAAAACCGAATAAAGCCCATTAGGCCCAATAAA